CCTATTATACGTTTCACGGAAACCAAAGATAATATGATTCTGAGATATGCTCTCTTCTATGAAAATAATGCAAAGAATCTAGTAGGTACCTCCGGTTATACTAGAAGTAGTTATCAACTCCGTTATATAAATGGAACATACTATACAGGGTGCAAAACGATACACTATACCGATTTTCAAGAAGACCTTTTTTATGTAGAATTAATTCTCAAATGATTATTAGGTCATTGGTGTAGAAGTTGGGGTAAAAAAATCCCACTTTACTACCCATTCCTACGCCACTGACCTACAATATACTTGTAAATTTTACAGTAAATTATGCACGTGTGTAAATGTTAACACCACACCAAATTTGAATCAATTTGTTATAGGCAACCAAAGATTTCATAAATAAAACGATTTTAAAAATCGACCAATACGACTCTGTACAGTGAAAACGGTGAGACTTAAACCCTTGCTTTATAAGGTAATTCTGAATTATTTAATGAGTTCTATTTGTGGTTAAAGTTTGATTCACTCGAACTGAAACACCTTGTATATTACAGCATTATCGAAACGATAGAATAAGAATAAGTCAGAAACGTTAAAGTTTCCCTGTATCTAATTGTAAATGTATAATCGTTTTCGAGATAATCGACATTTTTTTTGTCAGATGCGAGAGTTTCGAGAAATTCTTATATCTTTCTTCGTTCTGGAAGTTATCACTTGCTTTTCAGAACACAAACATAATTTAAGATGCGCTACCCTCCAATATCAAAATTACTTGATGAAAATTATATCAACTGATGTCTCATTTCTTACGCTACATTTTAAGATCGACAAAACTTCTCTTCTTATATTTTTTTGCATCGCATTACCGAAAATCAAATTCTCTTTCTGCCGATATCGGCATTGTGTGGGTTAATGTTTCGATTTTCTCTGGTATTTGCGGTTTCCTTACGTTTTCATGAATATTATATTAAAAATATCATCATACCTGACCTTGAAGAGAGCATATCTGATAACCCCTGTACATAAAATTCAGAATCATATTGTATTTGGTTAATTATAGGCCACTTACCATGAAGAACGCAGTAGGTATATTGTGTATACTTAACGAAGTACACGCCACTGATGCGGCATTTGTTGACAACAGCTCCGTGCAATCTGATCCGGTCGCTGCGCCATTAGAGCGTGTGATTTATTACTTGTCTTCATTTTATGGAATGCGGCACACAAGTGTCTTTAATGTACAGAGCCTTCATCAATGATAACAAACCACGTGATCGTCGAGTATAGGCAACCAACAATTCATAGTTGGTATTATCAACTGAAAATCCTTAAACGTCAGTGGAGTGGTTCAAGAGGTTCCATGTAATTAAATAAAATTGTTTTTGAAATTGATTAACGTGAATTGTTAATATCAGACTTAATACATACATCGAAACATACTTATTAGTCTAGTATAACAACGGTAAAAATGGGGTATTACCACCGAATTCTTGACACACCCACCGATTTTCATGAAAATTGGTGAGTAACATAATTTCCCCCTCCTTTACAAAAGTTACATAATGTGTGCTTATTGTTTTCAGGGGGTGATAACCACCCCTTCTTGCAAAAAACGTAAAAACCATAGATTTAAGTGTTATGTCAATAGAATAAGCATTATTTTATGTTTTGAATAATAATTTTTGATTTGTAGTAACATTTCAACCCTTAAAATCCACCCTTTATGAGAAAAAAAAACAAAAATTAGTTTTCGCGGCTATGAAATGTTTTGACGGAGCAATAATGAAGAGTTGAATATGTTTTACTGTTTATGAAATGACTTATTGCAACGTTTCAACCCTTAAAAACCATCCTTATTGCAGAAAATAAAGCAAAAAATTTTTTCGCATCTTCATAGCATTTATAATGAATGAAAGACTCATCACTGTTTATAATATTACCTATGATTCATTGCAACGTTTCAACCCTTAAAAACAACCCTTAATGAGGAATTGAACAATTTTTACCTGCTTGAAAACACTCAACGATACATTACTAAATTCAATGAGATCACTTAAAACTCGAAACAAATTATGTAATTAGTGAAAATAAAAATTATTTGTGTATTATACAATTATACTTTATTATCAAAAATTTATATATCATCTAAAGAACTATCATCACTGCCTGTTTGGTCCGTGATTGGAGGACAATTTTGGCAACTGTTCCCAGAACATGTTCCGCATATCGCATTACAATAGTGTCCAACTTTGCGGCAACTGCAAGTCGCACCGCATTCTTTTTGCAATTGCAAAATATCATTTTTAAAAGTTCTTCGGGTGCAGGCTGATTGAACATTTTTATTGGCCTGGACAGAATTTTCATTTTTATCCCCAATCAGTTGGATTAATGTTTCAAAACTTAGGTTTGCGCGTCATATGGAGGACTGCATATCTCGGGCCTATAAGAACTTGGGGTTTATTTTGCGCAATGCAAGGGATTTTTAAAAGAGTCTACATCGCTTAGATTATTGTATATAACTTTTATTAGATCTAAACTTGAATATGGCTCTGTCATATGGAGTCCGATCTATGAATTTCAGATTTCCGCGATGGAAATGGTTCAAAGAAGATTTTTCAAGTCGGCAGCATTTATATTAGACGGTGTTTATCCTGCGCGAGGAACACAACAGGCTATATTTTATAACCGTTTCGAATTGCAAAGCCTAATTTTGAGGCGTCAAATGTGTTGTGTACGGCTTCTCTTTAAGATTGTACATTATTAAGTTGTTTCCGATGCTTTGCTGGCGTATTTGAATTTTAGGGTGCCTAGGCTTAACAATCGATTTAGCAATGCATTCCTTATACCGCAAGCCCGTACCAATGTTTTGTTAAAATCTCCATTGTATCAAATGATATATAATTATCGTGCCGTTGAAAATGTTTTGGACATATTTTCATGCANATTTTCATTTTTAATCCATCCCCAATCAGTTGGATTAATGCTATCATTACCAAGCCACACCTGAGTTTGTAAAAAAACTCTCTTAATGTGTTGGTCCAGAGCATCAACTGTGGTGACAAGAGATGACAGATTCACAGCCGTTTTCTTGTTAGTAGCCTTAACGAAGGACTCGAACCACAAGTGCTCCAGAACAAATGTAAACATTTACAGGATAAGATAATTTTCACTGAACAGTACAATTCGTTTTTTCACGATAACTATTAATTTTTAATATTCTTCATCGCTCCAAAAAGCAATTTGCAGGGAATTGCAAGAGCTACAAATCAACCTTTATAGTTGAAGGGTCTTGAACTTTTCGTTTTCGAAATTTTTAGGTTTTAAGGGCTCAAAGGTGGTCCTTGCACACAAATGTAAACTAAAAAACGTAATATCTCAGTTAATTTTTGCTTTACAGAAAAATTGAAAGAGCAAAAATATTATAAAAAAAAAGACCTTTAATTTTGAACTCTTGTATTTTCACGTATCTTGTTTAGTTTTTGTTATTTAAAAAAAAGGATTTCTTTAAATTAAAAAAAAAAATCATTATTTCAAACTTTTTTTAAATATACCTATTAATATTAAAAATATTAATTTTTGGAAAAAACGTTATAGAGTATTTTTTGTTTAGAATTCATCCCTCTATTGATTTCTGCGATTAAAATGGGTAACTTCATTGCCACCCCCGAGAAGGGGTGGCATTCACCCCCAGAGGGAAAGCACACATCGGCACTATATGTAACTTTTGTTTCTTGAGTTACTGTTAAAATTTCACGTCAATCGGTGCATGTGTCAAGAATTCGAACCTAAAAACCGTCATATACTGAGCTATATGTTTTTTCGTTGAGAGAATATGCGAAAATTATCAAACTTCACTTGTGTAATGAACAATTTGCAAATTTTTGTTATGAAAACAAAAAGGACGTGATGTAAACCTATAATTATTTTAGTAGATACAGACTAAAATAGTCAGAGACATTTATTTTTTCTTGTAGATAAAACAGTATCACAAAAAAGTTATAGTAATTTACAAACCACTCTCTTCGCTGCAATATATATAAATTCATACTTATAAATTGCTATATTTGTGATAGAAACTTTGCATATTATGTTCAGAATGATGTCCTTCACTAGCTATGTACAAATTTATTCTCATATGCATTTTGTTAATTTTTCGAATAATTGCTGTTTCTAATTTTTTTACTCTGGTGCATTGTGCATCTAGTGTTTTAAAAATAGTATTTTTCAGATATAAAAACAAAAAATAATCTAAAGGAGTTAGATCCGGTGACCTCGCTGGCTATAAACCCTTCACTAATCAGTTGATTGTCATAAAATTCTTCCAAAAATTCAGTTGTTGCGAGTTATCCTATCTTGTTGAAAGTAACCTATATACTTGCAACTCATCATCATAACTGTATTAATAATGGCTTTAAAATGAGGGGGTCGATATCTCTCAGCAATTACAGTTTCGTAGTAAATATAGGCTTTATTATACGTTTTCTTGACATCGCTACCCGAGCGTCTACTTTTAAGGGATGTAAACAGATTTCTACAATAACATGAGGATTTTCTGCGGCTCAGGTTTTATAATTTTGGCTATTTACACAACCTGATATTTGAAATCATGTTTCGTCAGTGAAAGACGAGAAGTCCGATACATTACTTGGCAAAAAATAAAACAAAGTCTTGTGCAATTCAAATCCAATTTAAAATTCGAAATTATTCGACATTTTAAGCTATTTTTTCAGGTTAGAAGATTCTGGTGATTTGTTGCAGCAATTCTAACATCGAATTCGAATTCACTTTCTTTTTATTTTGTGAAGCTGTTATCGTTCATGTTTCAATACGAACGAAATAAAATTACTCTTTCAAACAAAATTACTGGACTGGCTTGTAATCATTTAAGAAGGCTATGTATAAATTATACTAGATTTCATCGTCTGCTACCTAGAGACTGATTCTATAGTTGTGTACCTCAGACCGAGCTGTAGCTATATGTACCTATGCATAGTATACAGTACACTCACCTGAATTTTGTAGCTGTCGTCGGTGACGATTACGACGTCCCTGCACTTGTCCAATGCCGCATACAGCGCCTGGCAGGTGGCGTGCTGTGCTGATGGTCGAATGTCGCAGTGCTTCAGCAGGATGATCTCGTTCACACAGTTGATTACGCTTGTGGTCTCTACAAGACACTGACAGACATATAGGTTAATCAACAGTCAGGAGAGTGCCCATTACTTTTCATTCGTAAATTGAAGATATATTTACACGAAGGTCTCAGCCATGTGTTGTGTAAAGTGCAATACCATTATGCATGTCATGCTATGGTATCTCGGTTATCATTAAAGATAAAATGTAACCGTTTTCGCGAATCTTGGCTATTTCTCTGAGATAAATCTTCAGGACAAAATACTATTGTGGAAATGTTTCTGGTTTTGGAATTATAGCCAAAAAATATATTATTGATATTGTGGGTGACTTGCGGTTAGATTTTTTTAGAAATATCGAGTTCCTTTTATAATTTTTTTTTGTGTGGAATCCAGATTGCTAGTTATCGATTAAAGTTGCTTCTTTTTAAACGGCAACAACTATAGTTTGTCAATAAAAGTTTCTATTTACCCCACCGGCTACATGAATCTGTTTTTCTCTATAACCAGCTATATACAGGGTGTTTCATAATTGGATGTCAATATTGAAAGGTGTTAATCTGTGCGTGATTTTAAGACAAAAAGTTCATATAAACATAGGTCCGTTTTCGCTTTATTTTTGATATACAGGGTGATCAATATCTGTTTGTAAAATTGTTTTTTTTTTTAATAACTCCGAAACTAAATTAGATAGTTTTATAAAACTTAGTATGTGTAAACTAGGTGCAGATACGTCTTTTGCGTAATAAACGAATTTTCATTTTTAACCAGTGGCGTCCCAATGAACTTCAACTTCATTATTTTCAATGAAATAAATGATACGCCACTGCATTTTTGAAAAACAAAAACTATTGTATAAATGGTGCTTTATTTTGTAATAAAAAAGATCTCTTGAGTTTTTTTCTTATCTTGCACTTTTTTTAGTAAAAAAATAAAGAACAACGTACTAACCCACATTGAGCCAAACAGAAAGCATGATATAAAGATTACCTAGTAGGCTGTGGTTGTTGATTACTGTTGTAATTTATTAATTTTGACAGTTCAGTTCATTCAACTCAATTTTGATACTTAAAATACCTGTACAGTGTTATTTGATAATGGTTGAGTTTACTAATCAAGAGTTGGCAGACATTCATTACATGTATGGCTTGGCGTATGGCAGAGCTCCAGAGGCTAAACGATTATATCAAGAGCGTTCGAATAGAGTCACACCAGATAGACGAACATTCTCAAACATACATAGAATGTTGGCTGAAACAGGTACTTTTAAGCCAAATAATCAATTAAAAGGTGCCCATCGGACTACTAGAACTCCAGAAGTTGAAGAAGCAGTTTTAAATTCAATTGATGAAAATCCTAATATTAGCACTAGACAAATTGGAAATAACTTGAATATCTCGCACATTCTAGTTTGGAGAATTCTTCACGATTTTCTGTTATACCCGTATCATATTCAACGGGTCCAAGCCTTACTTCCTCGAGATTTTCCTTTGCGAATCAACTTTTGTCAATGGTTTTTGGAGAAAATTGCGCAAAATCCCTTGTTTGACTGTGAAATAATGTTTACAGACGAAGCTAACTTCTCTAGAAACGCTATAAGAAATTTCCATAACAATCATGTTTGGGCCGAAGAAAACCCGCATGCAATTGTGAACTTTAACAATCAAGAACAATTTTCCGTGAATGTTTGGGTTGGAATTGTTGAAAATCACTTAATTGGACCTTTTTTTCTGCCACAAAGGCTAGACGGCCGTACATATCGTCGGTTTCTAGAGGAGGATTTGCCCGTATTACTTGAAGAAGTGCCACTTTTAACTAGAAATAGAATGTGGTTCATGCATGATGGTGCACCAGCTCATTTCCATCGAGAAGCAAGAGAATATTTAAATCGCACATTTCATGACCGATGGGTAGGCCGTGGTGGACCCCAACAATGGCCCCCCAGGTCCCCAGATTTGAATAGTGCGGACTTCTTCTTATGGGGGCATCTGAAAACTCTGGTTTACAACACTCCGGTTAACACTGTAGAAGACCTGAGGAATCGCATAAGAGCTTCCTGTGATGTAATAAGGAACACTGACAACATTTTTCAAAGAGTCCGCACTAATATGAGAAGAAGAGCTGAAGCATGTATCCTTGCAGGTGGAGGGCATTTTCAACAACTGATGTAATTGTTTGTTTTTTTCGTTTCACAAAATTGTTATTTGTTGATCGTCAATCGTAATTATTAATAATATTATACAATAATGTGTATAAGTTATCTAGTAAAAGAATTATTTCCATAAAATGTGTAAAAAGTACTTCATTCCACGTACAGATAATTATTGTTGTTCTTTATTTTTTTACTAAAAAACAGTGCAAGATAAGAAAAAAACTCAAGAGATCTTTTTTATTACAAAATAAAGCACCATTTATACAATAATTTTTGTTTTTCAAAAATGCAGTGGCGTATCATTTTTTTCATTCAAAATAATGAGGTTGAAGTTAATTGGGACGCCACTGGTTAAAAATGAAAATTCGTTTATTATGCAAAAGACGTGTCTCTGCACCTAGTTTACACATACTAAGTTTTATAAAACTATCTAATTTAGTTTCGGAGTTATTAAAAAAAAAAAATTTTACAAACAGATATTCATCACCCTGTATATCAAAAATAAAGCGAAAACGGACCTATGTTTATATGAACTTTTTGTCTTAAAATCACGCACAGATTAACACCCTTCAATATTGACATCCAATTATGAAACACCCTGTATATTGTCAGTAGTACATTTACTTTAGTCACGGGCAACTTCATTCCCCTCTATTCTTGATGAAAGGAACAACTTCGTTAAAAATTCATATAATTATTTTGTGGAAAAAACGCTTGGACACGTCGGTGAGTATTTTTAGTTGAGGATTTTTTGACATAAGAAAATTGTATATAGGGTGTCTCAAGAACAACATTGCAGTCATCATTGATTTTTTATAATGGAACACCTTGTATATTGTGCCATTTTTTAATTGTACGGTAAATTCTGACCACTATTTGAAAACATACCATATCTCTAAAATCAGCGGTTTTCGTAATAATGACGTTTGAAATGTGAACAATGGAAAAAAATAATGTTTAATCATAAAATATTATTTAAATAACAATTGCTTTACTTACAATAAATGTTCAATGTTTTATCCGTTTACTTCAATACATTTTTGTAGTCGAAGGATTGTTTCCCGTTGAATGTTTTCATTTACGTCTGCTGGAACAAGTCTTATTTCCTGGCGTATTTATCTAGTCAGATAAACTTTAGATTTCAAATAATCCCATAAGAAATCAAAAAGTATTAAATCCGGTGACCTTGGTGGCCACTCAATAGAACCTCTGTCTCCAATCTATTTATTAATTCAAGAAATTGTCGAACTGCAATTGCAAAATGAGAAGATCTTGTGGATTAGGAAACACAGCAGCTAAAGCGGGAATGAGTTCAAACTGAAGAAAGTCTATAGTACGATCGTATTCGATGCAAAGTAATAAATCATTGCCTGTCAAGGGAATCAGTGCAACACATTTTATAGGGGGTTTTGGAAATTGAATAATTTCTTTATGCATTATGGATTAACAGTTATATATTTATGAAGGACAAAATGAAAAACAAAGGCATCTCCTTCGCACATTGGGCGGCAGGACAACAATACATTTATTACTCCCTTCATTATCCCTCATATGACTTGTGTCTTGTGTTTTTTGCGGCGGCGCGCGTGCCGGCCTGGCGTGGTCAGTTTCGTTTCGGTTGTATTGGTGCTGCGTGTTTCTCGCTCGCGATATTTGTGAGGTTATAACTGTTATAAGTGCAATTATATTTCTTTCGGGCTATATGTGTGTTTCGCGCTATTATTTGAGAATTTGTGAGTGAAATCATATTTCTTGTGCTCCGTAACAAAAGTGTTTTTAGTGTTTTATTTGTGTGCTGTGTGTGTGTTTCGGGCTGTTGTTTGTGAATCGTGAATGCTATTATATTTTCTGTGCTAGTGAAGTGAAGTTTTTTGTATTATTATTGCTCTGTTGTCGTTATATGGATAAATGGAGGCGGTGCCTGGATGTTCGCGAGCCGGATGTACTGCTGTGGGTACAAAAAAATCTATATTAAGTTACAGAGAAAAAACGATAATATTAAATGTCTATAACCCTTTAGAAAAGGATCATCCCATGAAACTGAAGACTGGTTTGGTGGAAATGTGTTCTAGATATACTGGAGTAAGCGAATTATCTGTTTTCAAAATTTTAAGAGAGAAGAAAATTGAAGGAGACGTTAAGAAACCTAAAAAAGGGGGTGCAAAGAAGAAATTAATATTAAATGAAGATGAGAAAAATGCAGTTTGGCGTACAGTACATAAATCATAGAATTTATATTTTGTTTATAATTTGTTAACATTTCTTGTTTGATAGAAAAATAACTTATTTTGTTGAGATTGGTAGAGAATTGTTGTTAGTGTTTTCATTTGATAGAATCATATCATAGGATTTATATTTTGTTTTCATTCTGTAAATATTTATAGTATATCTGTTATACAAGGTTTTTGCTTTGAAACTTCGTTCTCCTTATAAAAAAAAGAATCGTAATGGGGTGCGATGAAGAGATCAGTTCACGTCTGGAACCCTGTTCCTACAAAAATCCCTTTATTCTCATAAACTATTTGTTTTAAATGTAATTTATTATAAATCCAATTCGTTATTTAAATTCCACATATGTACTACATTTCACCTCTGTACGCGCCACTGTTTATTGTTCCCTGCTCTACGATCAAGCTCGCCAGGTTAGTATTTGACGTATAACCGACCACTTCGTACACTCGATGCACCTGGCCGACTACAGCTAGTACCAGAACACAGTGCGTATGCGGCGGTATTTCAGATTTTACATTCAATTTCATTTTAAATTTGAAACGGTTCATCTTACGCCTCCTAAAAATGATGACACGATTTTCCTTTGATAAAAGACCGACAATTTTTTGCTCTACTTTGCATCGTATACGATCATACTATAAGTAGCGTTCTCCATTCAAAT